ACACCGCACCAATCACTCATTTGAGGCCGAGTTGACCTCGGGGAGTCCCAGGACCGGTTCAGATAATCGTCACTGCCGGTGTTGGTGGCCGTGAGCGGGAATCGAACTCGGGTCGCCGGGTTTGTAGCACAGCGTTCGCGCTTAACCGCTGACACGCGCGCGCGCAAATGTAGAGGTCCGTGTGTTAACACGATAGGGGGAAATGGCCCATTATACAAAGTAAACATAATTGGGCATAAGTGGCCTTAAGAATGGCGTAATTAACAGGGACGACATTAAGTCTAGCTGTCGTGGGGTGCAGAGTCGGGGCTTTAGAAGCTTTTATTGACGTTGGATATACTCGGTAGAGGACCGTAGAGGACCATTATGTCGGGATTCAATTACCACACCTGCCGTGCAACAGCCACCACGCTGCTGCTGCTGTTGTTTTTAACAACAATCCTTCACAGCATGGTACAAGATCGGCTTGACACCGCCATGGGAATGTGGAATTTCCACGGCTGCTTCGCGAGCGTTCCCGGGCAGTGCTTTTGCCCCACCAGTCAAACCGACACAACTTTCGGTTGCACGTTCGAGCGACCGTTCATTTATAATTGCAGCATGTTAATGTATTTTTTTATTTATGCCCCACGATGAATCCAAACTGCAATATTTACCGTGTCATGATTTAGCAAGCCGGACTTGGTATGTACGTTTGTTGAACTTCTTCCGCACCGTGCGTGGGCAACCGTGCTCATCGCAGGTGCCGGGGTAAGGACACCAAACTAAACACAGTCAGTAGTTGTGAAGAAATTAGTTTTCGATCTCGATGATTTCAAAGTGCGTAGCTCCAGCGGCTTCCGAATATTGGAGGGGAAGAACGTTGCTAGACGGGCCGCTGAAGCGCGTCTGGAAGCGCGCGACGCGGTTAACCACCGCCTCGGATTTCGAATTGTTGGCCAAAAGCTGCTGCCAGGATGCAGTGGAGTTCGCTTGGTTGATGGTTTATGCTTCTTGACTTGATTTCCAGAGGTCGCGGTTTTTATTCGATTTCCCGGCACGGCAGTCGAAACAATGATGCAACATTTTTTTAAATATATATCACCCCCCAGACCCCGCGCAGCCTTCCGCCTCGGTTAAGTCGATCGGTATGGTCACGTGTGCTGGGGTAGAGTGTGGGTACGTGGTAGAGTGTGAGTACTTGGTAGAGTGTGAGTACTTGGTAGAGTGTGGGTACTTGGTAGAGTGTGAGTACTTGGTAGAGTGTGGGTACTTGGTAGAGTGTGGGTACTTGGTAGAGTGTGAGTACTTGGTAGAGTGTGGGTACTTGGTGAAGTGTCGGTACTTGGTAGAGTGTGAGTACTTGGTGAAGTGTGGGTACTTGGTAGAGTGTGAGTACTTGGTGAAGTGTGGGTACTTGGTAGAGTGTGAGTACTTGGTAGAGTGTGAGTACTTGGTAGAGTGTGGGTACTTGGTAGACTGTGAGTACTTGGTAGAGTGTGGGTACTTGGTAGAGTGTGATTACTTGGTAGAGTGTGAGTACTTGGTAGACTGTGAGTACTTGGTAGAGTGTGAGTACTTGGTAGAGTGTGGGTACTTGGTGAAGTGTCGGTACTTGGTAGAGTGTGAGTACTTGGTAGAGTGTGAGTACTTGGTAGAGTGTGGGTACTTGGTAGACTGTGGGTACTTGGTGAAGTGTGAGTACTTGGTAGAGTGTGATTACTTGGTAGAGTGTGAGTACTTGGTAGAGTGTGGGTACTTGGTAGAGTGTGAGTACTTGGTAGAGTGTGAGTACTTGGTAAAGTGTGGGTACTTGGTAGAGTGTGGGTACTTGGTAAAGTGTGGGTACTTGGTAGAGTGTGAGTACTTGAAGTGTGGGCATTTGGTAGAGTGTGGGTACTTGGTAGAGTGTGAGTACTTGGTAGAGTGTGAGTATTTGGTGAAGTGTGGGTACTTGGTAGAGTGTGGGTACTTGGTAGAGTGTGAGTACTTGGTGAAGTGTGAGTACTTGGTAGAGTGTGAGTACTTGGTAGAGTGTGAGTACTTGGTGAAGTGTGGGTACTTGGTAGAGTGTGGGTACTTGGTAGAGTGTGGGTACTTGGTAGAGTGTGAGTACTTGGTAGAGTGTGGGTACTTGGTGAAGTGTGAGTACTTGGTGAAGTGTGGGTACTTGGTGAAGTGTGAGTACTTGGTAGAGTGTGAGTACTTGGTGAAGTGTGGGTACTTGGTAGAGTGTAGGTACTTGGTAGAGTGTGAGTACTTGGTAGAGTGTGGGTACTTGGTAGAGTGTGAGTACTTGGTGAAGTGTGGGTACTTGGTAGAGTGTGAGTACTTGGTAGAGTGTGAGTACTTGGTAGAGTGTGAGTACTTGGCAGAGTATGAGTACTTGGTAGAGTGGGGGTACTTGGTAGAGTGTGAGTACTTGGTGAAGTGTGGGTACTTGCCACTCCTTTCCTATGAATCCGGCCAGTGTGGAAGAGTAGGCCAAAAATACCCACCAACTAGAACTCCCTTCCAGTTGGTGGCCCATCCGCCAGCAGTGGCATGAGCAAGAAATTTCAGGGCTGCGCCTTTACCTCGCATCTACCTGCACGTGTACCTGCAGCTTACGCTTGGGCCAATGTCTCCGAGTATGTGGGAAGAGGCAATATTCCATCGGACTGATTTCGTTTTCTTTTTTTAAGGAGAGGCTGTGCTTTGAGAGTGGACCTCCGTGTGTGTGTGTGGTTTTTTTTTCACGTCCAATCATTTGTTTATTTAATGTAAGCAATGCGTGTAATTAGGCAAATTGCATGTTTATAGTGAACAATGGGGGTCAAGTGCGGTCACAGGATATTGCGAATGAGGGAGCAAAAACTCGAGCATGTTACAGGTCACGAATGTTTAATCAAGGCTCTGTGCATGGCTTGGTGTGTGTGTGGGTCGCAACGACGTCGACTCAGGCCCAAATGAGTACCTCGTGCCGATGTGTAAACATCGCCACTAGAGAGACAAAGACGGCCGAGCGTGGTGCTGGCCACCCACCCCCTCGTCTTGCCGTGTCGGCCTTCATAGGTGCTCGCTAACATCACTTGCCCCAAAAGTCTGTTATGGCTATACGGGGGGATATTTGTCTTTGTTTGTGTTTTAGAGTGGCTACTGCTATAAGCCGGATATGCTGGCTCACTGCCAAAATGGCTAAACCGGTCCCGGGTCCTCCCCTAGGTCGACTCAGCCTTAAATGGGTACCTGGTGCGGTGTGTAAACATCGTTACTCTGGGTGACAAATGTAGCCGGGCATCTGTGCAAGTGTGCCGGTCTGTGTACGTGTGTTTGTGCGCGAGAGTGTATGTGTGTGGATTTTGGGTAAACGTTGAAAATAAGTGTCCTATTGCCTTGCCGGGTCGTTATTGGTTGTTTAGGCAGCTGGAATAGTGGGCTAATTTAAACGTCAAACACCCACACACATAAATCCGCGTACAGAGACAAAGATCCCCCGTATAGCCTTAATAGACTGTTGGGGCAAGTGCTGTTAGCGAGCACCTATGAAAGCCGGAACGAGGGCGTGGGTGGGTGGCGAAGACCGACACACATACATATAACACACCCTCGCTCGCACACGCACATGCCCGTACGCACACACACTCAAACGCACATGGTCGCACATCTGCGCACAGATGGCTGACCCAACAACAAATAAAACAAAAACACACGTACTCTGTGTTCCGTAGATGGCGTTCTCGATGTTAATTATGGCACGGTTTTACGAGAGTTGTTATTCCGCCACGAGTCGGAATGCGACAATTCATCGATTCATCATCGATTTTAAAAGACGCACAAAAACCTCACCTGATTCATACGCTCACGACACGTGCATCGATCGATTGTTTCACAAGTAGGCAAAGGCGCTGCCCTGCAGCTGCTTGCTCATGCCCCTGCTACCGGAAGGGCCTTCAACTTCTCTGGAGCCCATAGAGAAGCCCTCTCCGAAGGGTACTTGGCCTACTCTTTCCTGCACGCTGGCCCGGGCGTCTTGAAGTTACCCACACTTCACCCCCGCCACGTGCGACCTGCTGATGGACTAACTGTGGTGTGACACTTCGTACTTCTGGGGTGGACAGAGTCGGGGTGGAGGGGCCGGAGTGGTGGTGGTGGGGGGGGGGGGGGATAACTACCGCGCCGGGAAATCGAAATGCAAGTCCCGTGTGCTAGCCATGACACCATGGCAGCGTCCCTGTTCACGAGTAATGCAAATCAAATGCTGATATTCCCAACACGTAAGTTATCATTTTATTAAATTACCATCGTTGTTTTGTATCTCTCCGTGTTCACTGCGTTTTCTTCTATGAACCCGCCACGTGTTCGTTTCACCCCCTCCCCACCACGCCATATCTCTCGTGCAGATGAGACATATTATCCCAGTCGACTCAGCTTTATATATTTTTTTAATAATTATATAGTGAAGAACCCCGCTGCGTGATGGTTTAGCCACACTGGATGTTGCAATCCTAGAGGATCGCTCGTTCGATTCGATTCCCCGGGGCGGCAGTTTGAAAACACCGGGCGAGTTTCTGCCGCCTCTGTCCACCCAGCGGTTACTAATGAGTAGAGCGACGAGTCCCGCCGGTCGACAAGAGATGGCACGTGGTGGGGTAACGTGTGGGTCCGCCCACCTCTTCTAACAACGTCTGGTCAATGTGGAAGAGTAGAGCAATTACCCTTGAGGGTTCGTCTCCTAGTTGTCGGGGGGGGGGAGGGGGGGGTGGGGCGGGGGGGGGGGCTTCTGTCAGCTGTGGAGCGAACAAGCAATTGCAGGGCTGCCCCTTTATCTTTTACCCTCATCAGCCCGTACCCGTGAGTTGACAATGGTAGAGGCACGCGTCTGATGTATGTGTCTTGCGTCACCTCTGGCAGTTATTGGAGATTTAAGCACGAAAAATATATAGACGGAGCGGAAAAAATTGCCCCTCTGGGATCCCACTCGCCACGCTCGCTGTATCGTATTGACAGTGTGCCCATCTCGTTCTGCTGTTGCATTGCAGGCCGGCCCGGCGTGTCAGGGCGTCCCGGCCCCACCGGTGGACTGGGCCCTATGGGACCCCCTGGAGGAATAGGGGTCCCCGGCCCCCCCGGACTACCGGGTTCCCCCGGACCTCCTGGTCCCCCGAGTCCCACGTCGAGCAACCAGAACGTGGCTCTGGCCCGAGGAGAGAGTACGTGAGGCGGGAGACGCGGTCAATCGTTTGCGTTCGATATTCACGAATTCAACAAATTCATACAAGGAATGTTAGTCCCACGTGCGATCGAATAGATCACGCAGCTCATTGATCAACATCACGTGACTGTTCGGCAGGGAGCCGCCTCCCCCACGTGCACGATGACGTGGTACGGGCGGGGGATGTGGGGCCCATCGGCACCCCCGGACCCATCGGACTCCCAGGTACATCACCTGTCACCACAATCAACATCATCATCAGTCCATCACTGCTATCATCTTCTTCATCATTACCGCGCCACTGTTTTCAACACCGGTACCACCACCATCATCTTCGTTGTCGTCATCTGATGATTGTGATTATTCTTTGGGTCTTTCGGTAAAGCCACGTAGATATAAAAATAATTTAAAAAATACAAATATCATTTTTTTTATTCTATCTACGTGGCTTTACCGAAAGACCCAAAGAATATGAATTCCTGCAGTCGCGAAAGCTTTAAGTCAAGATCACATTGTGATTCTTATCCACCCCCCACCCAACTCTGCCTCTGTGTGCACAGGAGATCCCGGTCCCCAGGGCCCTCGTGGTTTCCCAGGGAGGGATGTGAGTGACCTTGACCCCTTCTCTCGGGGTTAGGGGGTGGGCGGGGGAGCGAGGGGCGCGGGGGGCGGGAGCACCGGGGAAGGGGGGGGTCATCGCCTGGACGCCTCGATTGGCTCCACCAGAACCCTCAAATATCAATTTTTAAAAATCTGCAGTAAATTACTCAAATTGGGTTTGCCCACAATAATAATAATAATGTCTGTTCTTCTACAAAGCGGTAGTTGCGTCCCTGAAGAACGCCGCGTTATGGGAAAAAAACGCCTTAAAATATAAAATAAAGAGTAAATCACATTCCACGACAGCACGTGAGATGCGTACGCGGGCTGAACAAAGACTGAGGCGTGTGGGTAGCATCTAGAAGCATCCAGCAGCATCCCGTCTTGCGCGCTGCTACGCCGAGGCAGCCGTACGACTACTCGCACGACGTGGTTCCGTTCACTCAATCCCGTTATATCCAATTCGCATCTGTTATGAACGCAAAAGTGTTCCCTAATACATTCTTATCCAATTCGCGTTATGAAAACACGCGTTATGGGAGAACAGACTGTATCATTTTATATAGCGTCATTCATGCCAAAGGCATCCCACAACGCTGTACGTTAATTATGCACAAGGATCAAATCTCATACACGCAGTTGGCTTCGACCAATAGCAGCAGCAGCATCGCCGCCTGCTGTGAGGGTTCGGTAGAACACTCCAGAACGAGAGTCTTGATTCTCAACAAGGGCTCTCCCTGGTGACCGAGCGTCTATCGTGCCCGCGAGAATAAGCGACCGCGCGTGCTGGTTCTTTCGCCTCTGTCAGGGTCTCCCAGGGCCGGAGGGAAGACCTGGGCAACTGGGACCCAGGGGGGAGAAAGGCGAGCTGGTGTGTAGTAGTAGTAGTAACCGCGACATACGGTCACCCAAACACATTCGTCCGTGACAGCGATTCCCCCCAAAGATGATAAAAATATATATTTACTGTGCTCGGGGACATTTCGGGCAATGGCTCTTCTATCTACGGCGACGCTTTTGCCAGTGCCGCATCGCAGTGGTGAACAATCTATAAAGAGGCTTTAACCTTTCTTGCAATAAAACAGGTTTTCAAATGTCCGAACGCCAAATTGATATCCCTATTACAAGGCATCAAGTGTGCATCGACAACACGCACTTGTGGCAAAAAAGCATGCAATCAAACATGCTCTCAAAATTTAAACGCGTTGTCTTCGAAACTGATTGTAAGGGCAGAGAATGGCAAAAAGGATGCCTTGTAATAGGTATCTAGTTGGTTCTAGATTTGAAGCTTTCGTGACTGCAAGGATTCATACGCTTTGGTTTTTTCGGTAAAGTCACGTAGGTAAAATAAAATAAATGAAACCAAACTAAATTAAATCACGACGTTTCGGAGGCAAGACAAGCTTCCGTCTTGTGTTGCCTCCGAAACGTCGTGATTTAATTGAGCTGTTTTCACTTATTTTATTTTACCTACGTGAATTTACCGAAAAAACCAAAGAGTATGTATATAGTTGGTGTTTGAACATTTTAACGCCTCCCGTTCTATTGCCAGAAAGGGTAAACACTCTTCTTATTTATTCATGAGTTGTGATACTGGCAAAAAACGTCCCACAGATGTAATTGCTCAAGCCGAGCTATTAACACTTGGATACTTGCATTGTCTTTTTTGCTGTTCGCCTTTTGGCGTCCTCTCTGATCTAACGCCGGTGAGACAGGGCCACGGAGAAGGCTGTCTCTGATGTAGACCTATCATTTTCAAAGCCAATGCATACATTATATCAGAGCATGTTTGTCTGCATGTGTTGTCACAAGTATGCGTGCTTAATGCAGACTAAATCCCTTGCAATTTGTCTGTATTTGGTGTTTGAACATCTTAACCCCTCCATGGCCTGCTACATGGCAGCAAGATCCTGCACAGACTTGTTCAGAGCATTAATTTTAGAATTGAAGCTTTCGTGACTGCAAGGATTCATACTCTTTGTTTTTTTTCGGTAAAGTCACGTAGGTAAAAAATAAATAAAATAAATGAAAAGTAAATTCAATCACGACGTTTTGGGGCGCAACACAAGCAGGGGCGGGGCCAGGGGGGGGGGGGTGACAGGGGGGGTGACATTCTGCGTATAAGTGTACGACAGTCGGTCTGGTGGACTCCGTGCAACTGCATTGTCAGAGCGTGTCGCCAACCGATGGCGTCTAGTTCAACAGCCTGACTCTCTCTAAATCATTCTTGAAATTAACATTTGTTGAATGTCACCCCGGCCTGAAATCCTGGCACCGCCCCTGAACACAAGCGTCCTTCTTCAGGTGGGGGCGACCTAGCGAAAGCAGAGATGGTTGAGACACACTGAGACACATTTACGCGTTTGTGCTTTCGCTACGTTGTCCACACCTGAAGAAGGACGCTTGTGTAGCGCCAGAAACGTCGTGATTTTAATATAGTTTTCATTTTTTTAATTTATTTTTTAACCTACGTGACTTTTCCGAAAAAAAAAACACAAAGAGCATTGTTCAGAGCATGATCCCCCCCTTACTTTGCCGAGCAATATATTTCTGACCTGATATTTGTTCCTGACCCATGTGTTGTCTCCGTCAGTCTTCTCAGTGTAATGCCAAGCATGCCGCTTCTCTTCCTCGCATCTTTGGGCACTTTTCAACCCGTCGTCGCATTTATCGTTGTTCGTGTGCAGGTTTCTGACACCGATGAGCGTCGATTTGTATCATTATTATGACGCATTGTTTTTCACCAATTATGAATGGCCATTGGTATAATTATCATTGCCATAAATGATCAAAGTATTTTAAGATTCACAATGCTGGCTATGAGTATTGTAATGCTGATATGGGAGCCTCACATTACACACCCACGCGTGCGGTGAAGCTTCCCGGTAGATTTGTAAACGTGCTATGTTTCTTTCGGCCACCAGGGGGAGCGCGGAGAGCGGGGATCGCGTGGTCCCCAGGTAAAGAGGAAAGAAGAACCTCCCTTCTCTCGGCTTCAGTCTGTCTCTTACTCCTAACACGGCCTCATTCCAGCCGGGGTTTGTCTGAGTCAGTTAACCCTCACGCTGTGTCTGTGGATGCTACTACTACTAGTCACGTGCCACCTACTCCAGCCTAACAAGCGGTCTGAAAAATATGAACTGAGACTACTGTTGTACATTTAATGATCCCCCCCCCCATCACGATTCAATCCAACTCTCATTTGTATTGTTTATCTTTTTAAAAATCTCCTTTTAAATGTACTATTAGCACGTAATTTGAGTGGAAATTGTAACGGCCGGCGGTGAAAATAAAGTTTTTGGGTGGCTGGCTGACATGATATTTGCATTGATTAATGAAAAAGAAACCAACTTAAGACGCACGTCCACGAACCCGAGAATGCACACTCGCACAGCACGTGATCACATGAGTCCGTCACTTGCTCCACGAGCGGTGTCCTCGCCCCCTCTCGCTCGCTCGCTCTCTCGCCGAGTCCGGCTTCCAGAGGTGCAACGGTGTGGGCCGCGTTTGAACAACGCTTGCGGTGAATGGGGTTGCGAGAGAGCTAGAGAAAGAGAGAGAGCTTTGCTCTGTTAAGAAGCCTTAGCCACCGGCCAAATGTCTATGAGTATCGGCCAATTACAAAGCCTGTGACTACCGCTCATTGCGTTCTAGTCGGTGTTGCATTGTCAGATTTACAGTCGACGTTGTGTTCTCTCCTTGTGCAGGGTGACACTGGAGCGAAAGGAGGCAAGGGGGATTCCGTGAGTAGAACCTGGATTGTTTGTATAATTTTTTAATCCTTCGTTTGTCCAGGCAAGCCTTGCCGAGTCTCGAGACTGGTGTTTAGCAGAGTCCTGCCTGGGATGTTTGGCCAATCCGTTCTTTCAAATGCTATAGATGTCAGTGATGTTGGAAACACGAGTGCCGAGTGATGTTCCAAGCGTTCTTTGACGCACCATTTTGCAACACTGCACTGACCGGCATGGTGACATTTAATCAATGAACCCCCTCCCCCCACCATGACCGGCACTGCTTGTGGATTGACAAAGGGGGGGGGCTGTAAATTATGTCAATTTTACCTGTTTAACCAGGTGAGAACTGAAGAGGCAAGATTGACCTGAGTTTGCAAGAGTGCATTAGTATATATCATATATGTGTAGGGGTTTTTTTTTCCCCAAAGTATTTTATTATTAACAAAACGATAAACACATTATATGAAAGGGGGTTGACACCACCACAACCCACATATTACAGACTACGGTGCAATGGAAACATATCAAAATCTGCATGTTTCAAGAAACCCTACAACTCCCTGGTGTCTTCCTGAGTTCTGATAGCCCTGTAGGAGGAGGAGGAGGTGGAGGACCTAAATGCCCTCCTGAATGCTCTTAAGAATCCATGCCCACTGGAGGAGAGATAGTGACGGGGTTCCGTGTTTGGTGGTACGCCCTACAGCAGCAATCTTTGACAATTCATTGGCCCATTCCTGCGGCGTTTGGGCGAGCGTGGCTCTTCCCCAGTTGGCTATAATGGTGCGTTTTGTCAACATATGTGGTTTTAATGTCGTCTCCTTATTGGGCTCGTGTGACGACCCCTGCGGCAACCACATTCGCCGCAATGTTTTGGGCGTTTTTGTTTTTAAAAAAAACGATTCTTGAAAAGCAAAATCGGAACCCAGAATTGCGTCAGGGAAAGAGCACTGGAATCAATGACAGCCACCGCCTGAGACTTGGCTAGAATTGCAGCCACGTTGTCGTCGTACTGCACATTGAACTTCTTTTGCGCCGTGCGTAGCCAACCGTGCTCATCGAAAGGTGCGACTGAGATTGACGTGAAATAGGAATGCTGACTAAGATGTAACACTGTGATTCCCCCCTCGACAGTCCGACGGCTGGCAGGCCTTCCAGGAGCTACAGGCCGAGTTTCAGCTGCTGCTGCGTCGCGTGACACTACTGGAGGAGATGGTGTGGCCAGGTGAGGTCACCTCCTGATCACCTGTGAGTTCAGGCGAGATCACCTGCGAGTTTAGGTGAGGCTACCTGTGAGTTCAGGCGAGATCAGTGAGTTCAGGTGAGATCACTTTGTGCCTTCGGGAGAGATCACCTGTGAGTTCAGGTTAGATCACCTGTGAGTTTAGGTGAGGCTACCTGCGAGTTCAGGTCACTTGTTTTTTTTTAATGAATGTATTTCTAATAAGAGAACGCACACGCAGTGGCACCTGCGTGGAATACCCTCACCTTACCCCTGCAACATCAGCTCCATTCCCAGCCCCTGTCCCTCCACCCATTCCATCGCCTTCCTCACTGAACACCGTCGGATTGCATCTTAAAGCGCCCTCCAAGAGGGCGCTTTGTCAATGCGAAATAATAGAATAGAATTTGATCGCCGATGCATCGTGAGGCGGGAGCGCCCCCTGGTGGCAGCGGGCGAGCATCGCTGGCTGCGATTTCAGCGAGACGGTGGCCGTGGCGTGCGAAATTGGCGGTGGCAGATCGCGGGGGAGGCCTTCGTCCATCTCAGCGGGGGATAAAATCCACGAGGGGCCAGCGATGACGACGGGCCCTAGCACAAGGTTCCCCGAGCGCCAGTCCTCACAATCGTGCCCGCTGCACGCTGACGGTCGCCAAACGCGTACCACGTGACGTGGCGAACGCCGATTCTCACGAGGAACTAAGAATCAGAATATGTATTCGTACTGGAGGAATCCGAGGGGCTGCGAAGATCGTTTTCACAGATGTCCGACTCTCAGGGTCACGTGGGACACGCGAGCGCTGTACACACGTACACGCACGACATCTCTCAATTTTAATCGGAGCTACCCTCTTACGTGCACGTGGGGCACGTTTAGTAATCATCGGGTGCGCGCGGTGTGCGCCGATTTAATTCGTATTTGAACGGCGGCGGTCGTGCATGCAGGAGAGATTACCCGTGAGCGATGACCACACTGGATTGTTGGGAAAACTTTCATCGAGCAGAAGGGAGGTGGGTACAGTGGCATCTATGTCATTGCCTGCTAATGACCTTTTGACCTTGCCAAATCCCCCATCTCTTCCTTCTTGCCCCCCCTCCGCCACCGGGACATCCAGAGCCACTCCCGGCCGGTGAGGCAGAAGGTGGAGTCGACGCTGGTCGGCTCCTGGAGCTCAGGAGGAGACGGGTGGCTCCACGCACGCCCGGACAAGCGACCTCGGTGGCCTGAACCGCGCGCCGCGTCGTGACCAAAACACAAAATTAAAACTGGAATGGCCACGGCAGGCCCGGTACTGGAGCTTGCTCTACGGGTTAGGGTTGCCACCTGTCCTGGTTTTCCCAGGATTATCCTCATTTTTGGAGGTAGCTGCTGTCCTTGGGAAATATGTAAACCTTCCCAGGATATCAAAAGTCTCAGTTCCGTAGTTACAGTACGAATAATAATAATAATAATAGTGGTACACCGGGCAAGGCAATGCATTTACATGTGGTTCTCCCCTCTCGCGGTATTGTGAGATATTCTTCTTATTCCCATGACACATCCCGGTTTTTTTGGACCTCAGAGGTGGCAACCCTAGCTATGGGGCAGGGGTGGCGGTGGAGGAGGGGTTTGGGAAGTGGTGGGGAAGGTGAAATTGACAGCTGTATGCTCTTAGCGGAGGATGGGGGGGAGGGAATGTACACCACATCCATCATACCTCTCACTATGGCTCTGGCTACTACTACGAGTCACGTGCTACCCTACTGCACTCTACCAGCGACTCGGACAAACTGGGCCCATGGCTGTAAAACTCTCCCCACTTGGCTCGAAGCGCTGCCTTTAAACGGACGCACGGAGTAAGGGGGCAATGCTGCTCTTTAGTCGAAAGGCAGAAACACGATTGAATAAAAAATTGATGGGGGCGGGGGAGAACTAGATTTTCAATTAAGGGTAGGAACAAGCAGACCAACATGAGCAGAAGGTTGATAAAAGTGGCTGTCTTCTGTCAACCCCTTCCGTATTGCTACCAACAAATGTCAACTGGATGAAGTGTGTACAGTGACTCCGCTACTTACGAACTTTCAGAGACACGAACAAACTTGTCCAGTTGCCTGTTTGGCCTGAGAATCGTAAGTTCAACCGCCACGCAATAGATGGTGGTGATAGCATCTGTATCTACAGAACATGAGGAGCCAGCAGCATCCACATCTACAGGACATTATACAACTTTTAAAGCCATTTCTCGTGTTTAGAGTACACGCCGTAACAACAAGTTTGGAATAAACAGGAGTAAAGTTGGAACTACCGAACAATTCGACTTACGAACAGAACTCTGTAACCTAACTCGTTCGTAAGTAGAGGAGTTCCTGTAAATGCTTGCTCCACGGCCTTCAAATGCGTTCGTCAATAGCACTTGCCCCTATAGTCTGTTAAGGCTGTAAGGGGGGATGTTTTCCTGTCTTTTATCTCCCTGCTCATTTCTCTCTTGGTGGTCCCGCGCCAGTCGTGGAAATTCCACATTCCTATGACAAGGACCGGTCTGTCCACAGGATAACCCTAATGCTAAGCCGGTCTTGCCTCGCCTTGCAGAGATAATACGGTTAAGGGCAGAAATGCCAAACGCGTGCAGTGATCCCGCCATTATGTCCCCATAACATCCCAGATCATCTCCACTGCCATTCCCTGACCAGCGGTGGAAATCCCACGTTTCCATGGCAGGGGTCAGTCTCTCCATGGGACGGTCACTTGTTCACATCCCACAAAGCGGTACCCATTTGATCACCCCCTAGATAGGTCGTCCACAGGATGCCGCCGTGGCAGTGATGATGGTCGACGCTCGTGTTGGCAACACAGTTAACGGTGCAACGTCGCGTGTCTGACCCCCTTATCCATCCTGTCCAATTAACCGCCCACGCCGAGTGGAGGATTTTTTTTTTATCAGCGTGGTGTCACTGACATGTTCGATCTTGTTCGTCTCTAGTTCCCCGTTCTCTCTTCGTGTTCAGACGATGTAGCCGAATGAGATCTCTCCACCCCCTCCCTGTCTCACGCCAGCTTCACGGCTTCCTTCACCCCTGTGTCGCCCTTTTTTGCTCTGAATTGTTATTTAATTTCCGTCAAATCAGCGCATCGTTGCTCTCCCTCCGTTGCTTTACATATCGGGTGCCGCGGTGGCTCGGAGATGTTAACTCCCTCGCCGGGTATACAGGAGGTAGTGTGTTCGACCCTCGACCCTGACGCCTGCTGTATATTTGGAGTTTTCATGTCTCTCTCCCCGTGGTCGCGTGGATTTTTCTCCGGGCACTCCAGGGCTTCCCTTCACGTTTAGAGACATGCCTTTTTAGAGTAAATGGCTGCTGTACATTTCCACATCATAATCCACTTCGTTGAGCTTTCATTTTTGGCCAGGACGCTTCTGAAAAAGAGCTATATATCTCAATGGGTCTTACCCGGTAAAATACAAATTTTAGTTTTGAGTTCCGTGCGCGTGCTTGTGCGCGTGCGTGTGTGAACGATATGGAGCGGTTAGCACGCTACGCTACGAACCCGGTGACCCGAGTTCGATTCCCGTTCACAGCCAACACCAGTGACGATTATTTGAACCGGTCCTGGGCCTTCCCTAGGTCGATTCAGCCTGAAATTAGTACCTGGTGTGGGGTGTACACATCGCAACTAGGGAGACAAAGGCGGTAGGGCGTGGTATTGGCCACCCACCCCCTCGTGTACCGTTCCGGCCTTTTTAGATGCTCGCTAACAGCACTTGCCCCAACAGTCCGTCAAGGCTACGCGCGGGGTCTTTGTCTTTGTAGTGTTACGCCAAGTGCGGTATCCTTTCCAGATCCATTCCAAACCACTGGAGTCGTCTCTCTCTTGGATCAGTGTCACCCCATGCCCCAGTCGTTTTCTCATTGTGCCGCGCCTCATTGCTCCTGAAGTCTAGGACCCTCTCCTGTGTATTCTTAGTGAGCTCATTCCGGCAGTCGCTAAATTTTTTGTTCATCGGATTGTCTCGATGCTCCAGCATTCGGAGCCCCACGTATAGGTTCATATACACCTTGGCTTGTGTTGCCGCGTAAATATATTCTAGTTGGCTTTATATCTTGCTGAGATTGTTGCTAAGGTAAGACGTTCACAAATCTGACATTTTCGCGCGCAATAATGCATTGTTATCAATCTCGCGCATGTCCGCTCACTTCTAAAGCACAGTCGAGCGTCTCCCCGTGTTTAAAGACGTGCGGGGAAACAACCTTCATTATCTTGTTGATGTTCACGATCTTTCAATACCTCAAGTGCCCCAGCAAAGTCAGATATGCGACGTTGTGCCGTATAGCAACTGGGAAGTGAATTTAATGTGCATCAAGCAGTATAGGAACGTGTGTTTTTTTGATAAATACAATTTTTTGGTGCTCATAATATTTTTGTACAATAATATTTTTACACGTTGATTTTTGTTTCAATGTTTGTTTTAACTTGAAGCTACGGAGCTGCGCATTTATTTAAATTTGAATGCCGCTTCGTGTGCGAGACATCGGCGTTAAACGAAAATGCAACAGCAACAACAAAAACGACTTCGTTTCAAAGCATTTACGCATTCATCCCGTCTTGTAACGATGATTCGATATATTACCAAACTCGCGTACAAAGTTGTATTGCTGATAGGGACTTGCTCTATTACAAACTGGCCTTATGGATTAAAGGGCTTGCCCTATTACAAACTGGCCTTATTGATAAAAGGGCTTGCCCTATTACAAACTGGCCTTATTGATAAAAGTGCTTGACCTATTACAAACTGGCCTTATTGATAAAAGGGGTTGCCAAAAAAATGCGCGACTCCATCCAGTACAAAAGGACTCTTGGTGCCATGTGAGGGAGATATTTATTTATATTTATTGCTATAAATACCTCCAAAGGCAACCGCGTATTGAAAAGTGCTACATAATCCATGCTCATGCATAATTTTCCCCAAGTAGTTTAAATGTAATTACCGAAATAACATCGATCCACGGTAATCTGGCAGCAGCTCAAGTATGTACCTGTAAATATAAAACTGGCCTTTCGTGGTGGCCCAATGGCCCAGAGGTCAGAGACGGACCAGCCAGTATCGCTGAGAACCTGGGTTCGAGTCCGGGTTTCAGCCACCCGTGATTCAATCTGCTTCCGAAGTGTAGAGAGTGCATGTACACGCGCACAATACATAGCATCCCCAGCGTGTGCCACCCTCCTACCAACATTGAATGGGATCAGAGTCAGAATATTTAGTTATACTGGAGGAATCCAATGAGTTTTAAAGCTCTGTTTCACAGATGTCCAGTCGGAGCGGGTCAGACAGTTACAACAACCAACAATACAAAAAAACACGATAGGAGTGCACAGTACAAGGTAAACAAATCACTTTTTTAAAATATACAAATAAAACTAAACAATACTCTGTGGTTCTTTCGGTAAAGTCACGTAGGTATAAAAAAATAGATCACGACGTTTTGATCGCAACACAAGCAACCGTCATCAGGTGTGAAACAAACACAGCAGGAGGACAGGACTGCTGACGGTCGAAACATCGTGATCTATTATTTTTTATACCTACAGTGACTTTACCGAAAGAACCAAAGAGTATGGATTCCTGCAGTCACGAATGCTTCACACCAAGATTCAAACTAAACAATGTTTATCTTACCAGGTAAAGCCCACTGAGCTATTAACTTCTTTTTCAGAAACGACCTGGCCTTGAATGATCGCTCGACAAAGTGGCTTATCACGTGGTAATGTACTGGAGCAAGATAAGACAAGAGTCTCCCTGTATTTTTTTTACGATCATGAAAACTAGCGTGGGACTGCATGGCTGTGTCTATCTCAACATAACCGCTGGTTCTTTGTTGCTGTTGTTGTACTTGCATTTTCCTTGAAGGTCATAATTTCTTGGTTAATTACGACTCGTTTGTGAGCTCTGTGATCATTGTTGCTGTTATTGTAGACTTTGAATTAAAGATTTGTTTTTTGGGTTTGTGTTTCTAATCAATTACCATGACCTCCACTGGATTTTTGCACCGTTTTTCGTGAGGTTGATTTCACTTGTTGAAAAAACAAGCACATGCGTCAGTGGTGCAATGGTAAACGCAAATGACTTGCAATCCAGAGGTGGCGGGTTCGATTTTGATCTCTCGGCGCGGCGGCCAAAAAAAGAAATGTGGCAAGTTTTTTTTTAAATTCACCTCGACCGCCCGCCTCTGTCCACCCACCCACCACAGTTAAGTTGGATCGGCAGGTCTCGCGTGTGGTGGGGTGAAATGTGGGCACTCTCACTTGTTCCAAGACGTCCGGCCAGTGTGGGAGAGTAGACCAACTTGCCCTCTAGATCGGCTCTCGTGTGGAGTGCTCCCTGTAGTTGAGGCCCATCCTCCAGCTGTGGCACGAGTAAGCGATTTCAGGGCTGCACCTTCATAATTGTACTTTTACGAATCCACTTTCTCAATCCGGCTCCACGCATTATCGCAGGTTTTCTGTGCAAGTCAAGAACTGATCAAGTGTTGCAAATGCAAAAGATGGTATCGGGAAAATGTATATCGAGAGAGAGTGGCATGAAAGGGCAGCAGATGAGAATGCTGAGATAGATGTTGTGAATCGTGAAGCAAAAGGAGGTGAGAATATTGCGTTAGAGTCTTAGCAAGGGGTCACTATTATTCCTGAGAAGACAAGGGTGACGAGGCGTTGATGATTTGGGCACGAATTAAAAAGAGACAAAGCGTGAAATGAGAAGGGCTATGGAGTTGCCATTGGTGCAGGGTAGACGGAGCAGAGAGAGAGCTCGACGGTGAGATGGGAGGATGTGATGGAATGATATTAGATGATAGTGGAAGTGACAGAGAAGAGGCAGAGAATAGTAGAAGCTCATGGATAAAGAAGAGCCGAGCGGCCACAGTCACGGGATTTGTGGGCTCGAAGATGCAGAAACATAATAAGGGTGAAGATACAAAAAAACACACAAAGGTTACAGAGGTCGCTCAGGGGTCATAGCTTGAAATGTATTCCTGACACGATTTTCTGGCTCGGCGATCTCAATATAAAAGTCCAGTTGTTGCTCTACTTCAGTGTTTTTAATTGCAAGTCCCGCGGGCCACTGGGGACCCCTGGTGGCCTTTAGCGCGGCCCCTGACGTACGGCCCCAGACAATGCACAACACGTGTGGAAACATATCTTGCAGGCGGTGTGGCGGCCCTCACACTGATGTCTTATCGACGAAAGTGCCCCCCTCCTCCCGCCGACCTCTGAAAATTATTGATGAAGACTGCTGTACATCAACATCAGCCATGCGATAAAAGATAACCACGAACCACCTGGGTTCGAGTCCAGGTTCCAGCCGCCCATGATGACATCGGGTGTTTAAGTGCAGTGAGTTGATCGCCTCGGCTCCGTTCACACAAAAAACGCAACGTTAAATTTGGTGTTGCACTCAACTCGGCTTTAAAAATTAAATATTTGCCGACAATCTTTCCCCGAGGAGTTAAACATGTCGGGTTGAACCATGCAATGCACACCGTCGTCTTTTACAACGGCGTGTGCAAGTGCGCTTGAGCCCTGGTGGAAATTCTACATTCCTATGGAAGGGCCAACTAATCTCTGCCAGGGGACCAGTTTGTCGATGGCAGGCCGAAAAAAACACAGGACAAGCAATCAAAAGCGATCAAAGTGACATTAAGATTCATATGGGGGGGGGGGGGGGGGGGGTTGGGGGGGCGGTAACCACTGTGCTCGGTGAGTGACCTTGAGCATGAATGAGGTCATTCATGCCGCACGTAGAAAATCTACCAGCGCTAACGAGCACGAGTCAGATTTACAATTAAGCGATTTGACTGAGGGCTTATAAGACGGCGCACTGGGATGTGAGAGCGGTGACTGATGGGGCGTTCGTCAAGGAGGCATTGATTCATTGATTAATATCGATGGCAACGCCTCGCGAGACAACGGTGGAATCGCGCGCTTACCGCTTCTTGTGTCTCCGACTCTATCCCTGAACATCCCTCCTCATGTCTCCCCGAGCATTTCTCTTCTAACACCCCCCCCCCCTCCTTCCATACGTAAACCATACCCCTACACTGACCTCCCTTCCTCCTGGATCTCTCAACACACACACCCTCATCAACCACGCCTGCCCTCCCCCCAGACATGGCCCACCCACCCAATTCCTCACCATAACCTCCTCACCTCCCTCCAATTCCACATATGCAGCCCCTCGCTGCACGCCTACGCCTTACAGCACCTGCCCCCCCCCCCCCCGGTTCCTCTCCCTTCCCTCCACCCCTACCCCCTCCCTCCACACCTGCCCCCCTCCCTACACACCTGCCCCCCTCCCTACACACCTACCCCCCACTCCTCCACACACACGCCCCCCCCCCTCTCTCCACACCTGCCCCCCTCCCTTACACACCTACCCCCACTCCTCCACACACACGCCCCCCTCTCTCCACAACTGCCCCCCTCCCTTACACACCTACCCCCCCACTCCTCCACACACACGCCCCCCCCTCTCTCCACACCTGCCCCCGCTTCCTCCCACACCTACCCCCCCCCACTCCTCCACACACACGCTCCCCCCCTCTCACCACACCTGCCCCCCTCCCTTACACACCTACGCACCTCTCTCCCACACCAACCCACCCTGCCCTCGCTACCCATTTCATTCACACCCCCCCACCCCTGCACCCACATGCTCCCCCCGCCCCACCCCCGGCCCAGTCCCCCCACACGTGCCACCCCCACCCCCCAAACCCCCCCAAGGAGACGAGTGCCCGCGTGCCCATCGCGTATCCGCGCCTCGGTCTCAATCCCTCCTCGCGCCGTCCCCTCGGCAACAGCGGCAGCGTGAGGGGGGCCTCTTAGGAGCGTGGTCGCCAGCGGGGTGCTTGGGGGCTTTGCGAAGGGGCTCATCACCTCGCCTGCTGTCTCCCCGTTGCTACTCGCAACAAGCGGCCCAGTGTCAAAGTCGCTCGCCACCTCGCGCGTCTCAAAAAAAAAGAAAAACGGGCGTTGTTTGGTCCGTCAAATATTGTATTTTGTTTGTTTGCCGAAAAATAAATGAATGCGGGCGACGCACACGGGGGCCACTTTTTGTCAGTCCGACGCTGCGTCTATGGGGTGGCCTCCCTTCTCACGCCGCGCGAGTTGCGGGGGCTGCCGTTTGACCATACTTCACCACGCCGGTCGATGCGCGTTGACGAAAACGGCGAGCATTGGAGTGCTGTGCAATGCAACGATTGACTTTGCTGCGCAGACCTCTGCCGCACACAACGTAGCAGCCTATAGCACCTATTATGCACGCACGGTGGTCGCCCATCCACGCGCTGTCCAGCCTCAAGGGTCCTGCTTAGCTTCCGAGATCCGACGAGATCGGACGCGTTCACGAGAGAATATGTCACTGTAATGAAAACAACAGTGTGCTCGCGACCAGGACAAACATGAACGAGTGATTCATATTCCATCGACGAAATGCTGCTTAATATTCACAGAGCAGAATTTATTCCTGGGCGCAGGGGTTATTAGCACATTCTAAGTATAATTATATGTAATTGTATTAATTATTTGGAGATACACGTACTTCGTTTGCAGTGGTGCACAAGTGCAATTAACAAACAAAACACTTAACACGTTCGTCAATAACACCGTGGCTTGAAAAGTTAAATATTATAGACAATAGGCGACGTTTCTTCAGAGCGCATAAATCAGTAGCCTGAAAACGTCGCCTATTATAAAATTATATGAAACCTATCTTTAAGGCCAGTGTTATTGACGTGTTGAGTATTTATTGTTATTTGTACTTCTGCACCACTGCCAACGCAGCAACTGCAGCAATCAAATGTCTACTCTGAGATCACACTTCTATTATACATTTACATATTTACATACTGTATACATTTAAACACGAAAGTAAATGCATACCTCGGCAAAGTTCTAAAAAAACATTTCAACCTTGCCTACTTTACCCGAAGATTCGGGGTTGCAATTGGATTCGAGGACCGATTATTTTCTCGAATATTGCGATGATCGTAGCGCCACCAGTGGCTGCGGATGTCACGCGTGAATCAATTACGGTACAGGACATGGTACAACATTAAAATTCGTAAATAATTGATACTCGTGCCTACGATTCATTTCCATTGCATCATGAGCGTAGGAATCTGATGAACTATACCGGAGATGGATCGTTTTCAGCGTCTCATCGTCTCTCGCGCGTAACCTCACTCTCATGGCCCCTTCTCCCGCCGTGTCTCTCCCGTGTTATCAGAATCTGAATCTCTATTTAGATTGGAGGAATCCGATGAGCTACGAAGCTCTTGTTCGCAATTGCCTCCAATGGACGGTGCTCACCGATTGGGGGGCGCTAAAAGCAGAAGTTATGTTAGACCCCCCTCCTCCTCTCCTATTTGACATCTGAACACCGACTGATATGACAGACGATTACAAGGGGCGGAGATGTAGCGAGATGAGAGGAATGTGGTCAAAACAAAGAGATATGTCATGAGATGAGAAGACAGATACGGACGACACAGTTGTCGTGACATGTGACAGATGCAGGCAAGATAAGGATTTGACATTCGTTTTATTTTAATGAAAATTTCACATTAATTCGGATTTGAGTTCGAGCTGATATATTCCTATTTTTGTTTCATGAATATGGAATCCCTTCAACTACTTGAGACACCATGCTTTTGCTTAGTGTAGCTTATTCCGAGCGCCACACCAGTGATCCTCTCTCTGCCCCACCTACCGTGGTAACATCCCTAAGGCGGTGCACGTGTGACGCTGTGACACACACGCACACGCGCACCTCCCAACACCAAATTCAACAATACAAAAAAAAACCATCATCATCATATTTGCACTGTATTCTTGCCTGCAGCGGCAGCTGCGACCTTTGCAAATACTCTCTTGCGCTGTCAACGATAACCCACTCCTTAATTCTCACCCGGAAATTAAGCGATGAAAACAACACGATAATAGTTTAATTACAGCACTTTTCGTAAATCGCCCGTGCGTGAATCACAGGGAGAGGAGCGGTGGCGCAGTGGTTATGCGACTGCGTTGTGACCTTGATTCTTATTCCCAGCCGTCGTCAGGAGTTGATGATATCTGAACCCGTACGGGTCTCCACCAACATGCACTGACCAGCATGGTGAAGTATGGTCAAACAACCCCGCGTAACCGACCCCTGTCTTCACCCATTAGTGGATTGAGAGATCTGTGATAACAAAAAAAACCTCAATTAAATCATGAGCGTCGTTGTGTAAATAATAAATCACTCAGACGTACATGATATTGTACTGCATTATGTATTTATTATTTAAAAAAATTCAATGGTCTGCCCTTTGTCAATCCACTGCCAGATGAAGGCCTCCACGTGCTATGCCGGTCGGTCATGGGAGTTGTTTGACCATACCTCACCACGCTGGTCAATGCGAGTTCAATGCAGGGACCATATTAAACATGTACATTCTGAATGCCAAAAAAAAAAACATGACCACTTCTCCACCCTCAACCCCCTCATGCTCAAACGAAAGCAGGGCAGTGCTGAACTGCTTTAGGTGGAACTGGGCCAATTATGGAAATTCCACATTGCCATGATGGGGACCAGTCCACCCATTCGGCACCATTTGCATTCGGTCAGCAATAACCGGTTTTATATATAACAATATCCATGTACGGTAATTGCCCAAAACGTTAGTCCGTTGCAATACGTTTTACGAGTTGGTAATGATGATGCAGCACTGGATTGATCATGGATGACGATGATGAAACTAATTTTTCCAATGCAGGGTAGATTCGTGCCGGCAATGCGTACTGCGTATGGGTGATGAGTTGCTGGGTGTCTGTCAATTAAGAACCAGTGGTTCTTAACGTTGTAACTTACGTGCTTAAAAGAACCAGTGGTTCTTAACATGGGGTGCGAGATGCCCTATCTGAGAGTGCGAGACATGCCAGATTAATTAGAAGGTAAATAATCATCAACAGACAAATTAAGCACGTAAGTTACAACTACTTTGTTTCATCGAACCGATGTATGTTTTTACATTATATATTTTTTACGATTTATAACCAAAGGGGTGCAAGGCTGCAGAAAAAGGTTTAAGAACCGCTTGGTTTAAGGATCATTGAGAACGGATGAAAATTAAAGGGGAGGTGGGGGGTGTGGCTAGAATGTGAAGGGGAGGGACTTGACGATAACGAGGCGGGGCTAGAGGGGTGAAGTGGGAGGGGTTAGAGGGTTAAGGGGAGGGGTTGAAGGGTTGAAAAGGGGGGGGGGGGCACCGTGACTCTTGCCAACGCATCGTCGTCATCATCAGCCACGATCATTCCACTGCTGGATGAAGGAGGTGTCGTGGGCGTGCACGCGTCTCTCTCGAGAATGAACGTCGCTCCCAGCCCCCTCCCTGCCCACACATGGACAGCGCGGAGAACTAAATAAATAAACTACTCCACGCGTTTTCGGAGCATTCAATAATTAAACAATGCCTCTCTCTCTCTCTCGACTGTACGTTATTGTGCGCGTGTGTCGGCGGATAGGCGGTGGCTGAAGTCTCGTTATTGTTCTGCTAATTGTCATGCATTCATTTTTTTTCGTCGCGTTTAAAGTCGCTCAACTCTCGGGTGGGTCCCGTCGCTTTACCGAACTAGATAACGGCGACTGGAAGGAGTTAGCGGGGAGCTAAATGTAGTCACTGTGTTGAAGTTTTATATCATGTAGTAGTTCGCGTGCGTGCGTGCGCGCGTGCGTGTGTGTGTGTGGGGAGCGGTGGGGTAGCGGTTAGCGCGCTGCGCTACGACCCCGGTTCGATTCCCGCTCGTGGGCCAACGCCGGTGACGATTCTCTGAACCGGTTACTTGGGGCTCTCCTTCCCCTAGGTCGACTCAACCTCAAATGAGTTACCTGGTGCGGCGTGTAGGAAAACAGCGCCACTGGGGAGACAAAGGCGGCCGGGGCGTGGTTGCTGGCCACCCCACAGCCCCCCCCCCCCCACGTGTGCCCGCGCCGTCCTTCATAAAGGTGCTCGCTAAACGCACTTGCCCCTACAGGCTACACGGGGGATCTTTGTATTTGTACGGGCGCGGCGTTTAGCGCACTGCGCAACGCACCCGGCGAATCCGCGGTTCGCTTCCCGCTCGCGGCTCACGTCAGTGGCGAGCCGATATATCATAAATCTTGTGCTGGGGTCTTAATAATGATAATGAGTGCGCTGTGTTAACAACAACAACAAAAACGTTTACCAGCACGTGGGAGACAAAGGCGGACGGACGGTGCGGGCGTGGTTGTGACCATACCACCGCCACCCTCATTTAATAGGCGCTCGCTAACCAGCACTCTCTGTAGGCTACACGGCGTGGGGGGGTGGTGGTGTCTTTGTCCTTTGTATGAGTGTGTGTGTGTGTGTCATATACTATAGGGGTGTGGTGGCCACTTTGGTGGCTGTGGGCTCCTGGGGCTCGTGGGTTTCGGGGAGGGAAGGAGAGGGGGGGGGGGTTTAGTAGGGGCTAGCGGCGAGCCTACAGCTCATAGTCAACTACTCGCAAGATAGAGCTGGCGTGGTGGGGGGTTGCCTTTCGTGCTTTGCGTCTGCAGCAACTGTGCTGGCGTGGGGAGTCTTGTTAGCCTCGTGGGGAGTCTTGTTAGCCGCGGAGATAGAGTTGGGTCTGTACGCGTTAGGGTAGAGGAGTCTAGATCTCTTGATGTCGGGGTGTAGCGCTTGCCGGTTAAGGCTAGGTTCGGGGTTACAGATCGGGTTAGAGCGCCTTGGTCGAGTTCGGGTTAGGTTCAGAGCTCGCAGTAGTAGGAGATAGGATCCAGGGCGAGTACCGCACCACCAGGAGTCATCGTTTATGTTTCAAGCGCGCACCCTTTTGGACATCCATCACTGAAGGAGAGCAATGCTAGCGTGAGTGTGGACCTCATTCTACATCCGTCAATTGTCACGAATAAGCAAGCTGTCGCGTGCTCTAGCCGCTCTCCTTCCAGTACGGTTCTTCTGAAGAAAAAAAAAAAGAAAGTTTCTCGGGATCAAGGTTCGATCCCGGGTTACCCGGGGGGTCAGGAGGTCAACAACGTCATCAGCAGCATGGAGCCCCTGCACCCGGCCCAGGTGACCGTCCGCGCGGCCGCGGGTCGCTCCGTGAGACCCTATCGCAGCGAGCTGGCCTACCTGCACGCCATGAAGGAGGACCTCGCCCAGTGGCTCAACGTCATCTTCTCCGACGTGGCCTTCGACGTCTCCGCCGACAACTTCACGGCCACCTTATCGGCCGGGTGGCCCCTCTGTCGCCTCGCCAACGCCGTGAGCCGCTGGGCCCTCGACTGTTCCCGTGCGCGGGATCCTGGGCAGGGCTCGAACCCAGGTCTCGGGGCCCATGGGCTGCCGTTGAGGGGTGTCCCCACAGAGCTTGCGCTCCCCGTGCCTTCGACGTCCTCCTCATCCTTTAGTACCATCTCGAGTTCCAACAACAACACCTTCCTAACCTCCGCCAACACCACCGGTTCGTCGCCCACTTCATCATCATCGTCGTCGTCCTCTTCACTATTCTCATCATCGTCGTCCTCGAGTAACTGGAAGAAAGGTCTGAATCAGAGATCGTGGCGTAAAGACGAGGAGGTTGATGTTGAGGAGGAGGAAGAGGAGGAGGAGGTGGTGGACCAAGACGATGTTGAGAGGTCCAACGGCGTCATGGAGCAGAGGGCCACTTTTGCCGCTCGAGATCGGGTGGCGACTTTCTTGGGCTGGTGCCGCTCGGAGCTTGGCATTCCAGAACATCTCACCTTCGAGACCAACGACCTCATGGAGGTCGGGCGACAAGAGCGGCGAGGGGGCGGGGAACGTCAGGTGGTCTTGTGCCTCTTGGAGGTGGCGAGACGAGGTGCCCGAATGGGGGGGCCCTGCTCCCGAGCTGGTCATGTTGGAGAGGGACATCGAGGTGGCCGAGGCTCTGGCCGCTGGCCAGGAGGTCCCAGTGGCCGGAGTCGGGGTCGGGGCGACAACGAGACCAAGGAGTTACGATTTCAAGAATCTCGACCTGATGGTGAGTTGAGTTTGTGCGCGTCGTTGTGGACTGTCTAATCATATTGCAGGGGTCGCGATACAAGGTGTGCGAAGTTAGTACCGCAGTGGTTTTCATGCGGAGAGACTGGACTGAACTCTCAGCTATCGGAATGTGGTAAAGGCGCAGCTCGGCAATTACTTGCTCACGCTACTGCTGGAGGAAGAGCCTGCACTAGATGAAGCACGGGACAGCCCCTCTCTCGATGTTGCCAATCAACGAACTATGAATTACATCGAACCGACAAAATCGATACGGGTGCAAGTCCATTGCGCTAAACATTAACACCACGGCAGCACCTCAGGAATGTGGAATTTCCACAGATGGATGCTAAGGGCCACGTTCTGAAAGTCACCACGGATATTTGTTTGAGCAGGAAGACCCTGTGGTCATATTATGTACAGTACTGTGAGCAGTAGTCGATTGACAGATTGTTGTGGAGGGACTGGCCCCCGGCATACCAATGTGGAGATTTCAAAGAATGTTTTATCGATTCGCGCACTGTTTGAACAAGGACCGATTTCGACCACAATCTTAAAAAAAAACATGTAAGTTTCCGTTTACTGAACATAGTTGGGGCCTGAACATGGCACAGTGGTCTGCCCTTGCAAATACTGTAACGTATACAGCCTGATGCGGGCCATACTTCACCAGGCTGGTGAAGGCGGGCGGCATCGAAGTGAGGTGCAACAATAAACGTTTGTGGCACTGCCCTCTAATACCCAACAGCTGCCAAGGCGTGGCAGCAGGCCCGGAACGCCTGTCAATCATCAATCGTGGTGGTCCGCACATCCAAGCGCTGTCCAGGCTAAAAAAAAAATCCTGCTTAGCTTCAGAGACATTCCCGTATATTTTTGTCATAAGGCCAATACAGTCAGTACAGTATGGATAAATTCCAGCCCCTAAGGGTCATCAGAGTCCACTTTGCAACGTTGAAGTGCGTTTGTCATGCTGAGGAGCCAGACACTTGAATGATCACAATTAGAGGTTATGGTCCTTAATGGTCACTACTTTCAAGCATGGTCGAGTGCCGCTGATATATATATTTTTTGTCAGATGTTTAACTCAAGCGGAGACACGCGTGTGAAAATAATGGGGATTGTTGCTTTGTATCTGATATTGACAACCTGTCGCTTTTGTTGCGGAGCAGTGATACAGTGGTTAGCTTAAACTATTAATCCGACGCCCGAGTTCGATTCCCGAGCACGGCAAACATCAGTGGCGAGTGATATCAGAATTGGTCCACTGCCCTCCAGCTCCACCAAGCCATACTGACCAGCGTGGTGAAGTATGGTCAAAGAACCCCCATGCCCGGACATGAGGCCCTCATCCATTTGTGGATTTAGAATGAAGAGGGTTTTCATAATGTATATGACCTTCATCTGTTTATGTGCAGTACAGTAAATGTCCCATTGCTCACAGTGTGGTATACATTGCTTATCTCAGATGAGTTAGCGGTAGAAATTTCACAATAATTGCCTTTTTTCCCCTAGTGCCATTCCAATTGTGCTATCGGTGGTGTCGTACCGTAAGCCAACAAAGTACCCATTAAACGCTCACAGAACCCAGATTCAAACCCCACATTTCAGCAGTTGTCGGCTCAACGATCTGACCGCTGAACCACCCTGCCTCAACCGCAAAATCCCTAATTTTGAGGTGAGAACCGGAAAGCTACCCTTCAGGGTTGTGCTGGACCCTCGGCAGATAAGTGCTTATTTTACTGACCCTGGAGGAATGACAATGACGATGACAGGGCCGTCAGTAGGGACCCAATGATTCACTTCCCTGTATTATATTCACATTGTGGTGAGAATAATAGTGCATACACAGTGGCCGCCTCTGCCCTTCTAGAAGGGGGCTCTTGATAGCTTCCTTTCGTGCAGTCCCTTCTACCAGCAGTGAGCGTGAACGAAGCAATTGCAGGGCTACACCTTTGCTTTTCACCTACAGCGGCTGCAAGGGGGCGTTATGCGAACCAATTACATACAACGTGCATATGTACAGCCCTTTGTCAATCCACAATTGAACGAGGGGTGGGCCTTTCTACACCCACCATGTGGTTCGTTGGCATTGTTTGACGTCCGCTTCACCACGCTGGTCCGTGCGGGTTGATGAAGGCGGGGGCGCGTTAAATGTCTAGGGCAGCATAGAAGCGCAGTACAACGGTGGATTTTGCTGCACTGTCCGCAACATACAATAATTGTCGTGTAAACCATATCGATTCATAAACATGAGTGATTGGACACGGGTATTGTAATCTTTAAGTATTTATATTAATCGATGGAACGGCGCGCTCACTCGTGAGGCTTTAGCGCGTGATGCCAATAATAGGACCCGTTCTGCCCTAGCAATTAGAGCAATTAAGCTGTATCCTGGCCATTTGCTAATGATAGCCTGTACTCTGCTGATAATGATACACTTTCCTTTATTATTATTATTGCTAAAAGTGGGCGTTTGAGACCTGGATTTGTAGAGTTAGAGCTCAGAATTCGAGTCCCGCTAATGCATGTTGCAGATGTTCCATGTGTTCAAGTTAGAGTGGCCAAATTATCAACTGAAATGCATTACATGCGTTCGTGACCCTGAGCTGGTGATTGAAATTCTGTAGGAAAACCACTTTATATTGCATTCATATTACACTGTACAATACAATTTGGATTGGTAGAACTTATAAACGTGACCGCATCTCAATATGCTGCACAGAAACAGTTTGGTATCTTTGTTTATAGAAAGAGGCAATCGGTCATGGGTAGAGGTAATCAGAACACCTTAGGCCTGGACTTGGAACAGTGGCAGGGAGTCACTAGCACGGATGACTGTAGGAAGGGAATTCCCAGATCATGCAGGCAGCAGACATCAATGAGTGACCTCCCACTGGGCGAAGGTTAACCGTGGGCTTGACAAGCTTCAGCATGAGTTGGTACAATATAAACCCCAAAAATAGACTCATCAGCTGCGTCAGTGGCTCATCATAGGAGAGAAAATGGCAGTCTTTTTTAATCTCCTCTGTCATTGAATTTCACGTTTAAATTCCCTTTCGTCTTTTTTTCTACAGTCTCGTTTATTATTTCTCTGTTTTTTTTAGATCTCGTTTGTACAATTGTTTTTACACCCCATGTGCCGAAATGTAATATTAGCATATTACATTACTTGCATATCATCACCATTGTCAGCAGCAGCCATGGTCAATCCACTGCTGGATAAAGGCCTGCCAAGGCTGTCACCATCTCCCACAATCCCGCGGTGCAATAAATAAATATATCATGTTGATACGTACTGACATCATCCTTACACGAACGATCCGGTGCATGTATCCTGCAATAATCAATATGAATAGACTAATCGCAAGTGTCATCGTATCCCCTGCGCATCACTGCTGAGCATTGAAAGTATCCCCCACACCATTCAACACCCATCTCCACCACTCTCCCCTCCACTCACCGACCTTGCTGCACTTTAGCAAGGCAGGATGATTTAATTGGCAGCTGTAAACGCCCTGAGCCTGTAGCCGTGAGTCGCTGACGCATGTTTATTCATAACGACGCCAAATTAGGCGGAATCTATGGTTCAGACGCTGTGGACCACGAGAAAGACATAAAACACGTGTCTCCATGTGGAGTTGTGCATCGTTTTATGTTTGTGCACGCTCTTGAAATGTTACGGCTGTGTGGACTCCCGCGGTTGCGCTGCTGTACAGCTCTCCGATGTGTTTTTGGGTTGTGCCGCGTGCTGTTCAGCACGATGCCCGACGTTTCGCACCACATTGTGGGCGCTTTTACGCTTCTACACGTTCTTAAAGAGAAGCACCCGCCACATGGAACGAAACGCCAAACAACAACACGTGGCATGACCCGAAACGCATCATAATTATTTTAGTAGACAGAATACATAGATGCATAATTAATATTTCCCCGCATCGGATGCCTTTGTAACTCACAAACGCTTCGGTTGACACTCCTGGGCTTTATTTTGCCTTATTAACTTCATTGTGACGGCTGTAGGCGAACAATAACGCCTGTGAGTTGTGATCGGGAGTAAAACAAAACGCAAAGTAGAAAGCGCCTCGCCGCCAATGAGCCCCGTGCCCTTTGTGTAACGATTCACGCATTTTCATCACTGGGCTCCCCAGGGGCCACGCCATGAAGTTTCCGTGGCCACCACCCAATTGCCCCTGTGTCACCGCACGCGTGTGTGTGCGTGAATGTGTGTGTGTGTGGATCTGTGTATGCGTGAATTAACAAAGGCAGCCACTTGTGCCACCGCCGATGCCTTTTTATGCCATTGTGTGTATTTTCCTGGCCCGGCACTAGATACCTAAAGCCATGTTCCGCTCAACAAAGTCACCGTTTCCTCCATCTGGTTTTGTGGCGATGACGGACGGCGCTGAACATCGGCCACGGTGTGAGGGGGAGGCACTCATCCAGCTGTGGATCCACAAAGGGCTTTAAATTATGAACAACATTATTAACACTTGTTTGAGAACGAGCACACGTTTATTGTGCAATTGACGAAACTGAATGCTCCATCTCAATGCCAGATGGTGGGACACTCTTAGGGCTGGTCTTGAAGGAGGTTGCATGTCAACCGTTGAGTAGCCGCAGGACCTGGTGTTGAGCTGTAGCGTTGGCATCGACTTTGGCCATGGTTGACGTAGTGATCTTGAATATCATCGCTAATGAGATGTTAGATTATTTATGAAAGCTGAACAGGCCGGGTGCTACTTCAACACTTGCACCAGCAGTGTACAGGCTGAGATGAGAACTTTGTGTGCGTGCGTGCGTGCATGTACGCATGTTTATTGTAAATCCAAAATAAGGCATAGTTTACAAAGGCGAGTCGCCTTGTGCGTGAACGCGCTGTCAGTCATGGCGAATGTAACCTTTTAAAGGAAGGAGCTGGAAACTTGCAGTGCCAGTCCATTCGCCACGGTGTCGAGATGTTAACTACCTTCCCCTGGTATACAGGAGGTTGTGGGTTCGATG